GGGAGAAGTAGACAGAGCAGGAGATGGAGGTGTCACACTGATCAGGGCCATTACGAGACATGGCAGGAACACTTGCGTGACTTTTATAATTTGAGCTTGAGATACTGTTTTACAAATAAATCTACATTCTGTGACATGTATAGCAAACGTCTTAACTTTAGTATGTATTGGGCAGATTTTACTCTCAAAGGAAAACTAGAGAGAAAAATATTTCCTGTTTCTTGAACCCCTTACAGTTTAAAACCATACCACAGAGAAAATAGTTAACTCATAATTATATTTTCTTCCTTCCCTATGTCTAAATGGTAAGGATTTCTGTAGTTGTGTAATTTAATTTATCGATCTATAAACTAATAACTTGGTCCCTTCAGGTTTTACAGTGAAGGTTCCTTCCTACTTGCAGGTTACATGCAGTTCTCATGTATGGACGCAAGGAGTGAGTCTGGCTGCAGATGCGCCAGAGAATCTTACTGTTGGAAGGGATGTTAGAGGTCCTTTTGTCTAACCCTCCTTCCTGTCTTCCTTCTCTTATGCTATCAGTTTGAGTCCCTCTCAGAGGCTCCTGGAAGATCCCTTGGTGAGCACAGGTGTGTTTGGTTTTTCAGCAGTCATTGGTGATCAGGGATATGGCTGAGGCTCTTGCCCAGTGGGGGCAGCTGAACCCTCCTCAGGGAAATGTGCCTGAGAAGCATAGGCATCTGGTCTTGCTGGGTAAGGTTGGCCTCCTCCCCCGCTTTGAACTTACCCAGTGTGGTACCTTTGCTTTCTCAGTTCCTAGGAGCTCTGAGAATCAAAGATTCTTAATCGCTGTGTAAGTCCTGAGACAGGCAATGTCTACTTTTGTTTCTGGATATATGTGTAACTCTCCCAGAGTTAGAGATGGACACCTTTTGATTGTATTTTCCTAGGTGGTAGCATCCTTCTTCTCTACTCCCTGACCAAGGATGTTGAGACAAAGTTCTAGTGCAGATACCTTTTAAGAAAATGGGTGCTTGGGGCACCTGCGTGGCTCAGATGGTTAAGCGTCTGCCTTTGGCTCAGGTCATGATCCTGGGGTTCTGGGATCGAGCCCCACATCAGGCTCCTGGCTCAGCGGGGAGCCTGCTTCTCCCTTTCCCTCTGCCTCTCCCCCTGCTCATGCTCTCTCTCTCTCTCTATCTCTGTGTCTCAAATGAACAAATAAAATCTTTAAAAAAAAAAAAGAAAGAAATGAGTGTTTATTGTTTTAATAGAGAGAGGTAAAAACAAGTGACTTAGTTGTTTTGCTCAAGTAGACCCATATCCATCTTCCTACCTTCTGAGCACTGTTGAGGGAGAAATCTAGAACTGACCTCTCTCTTTCTTTCTCTCTCTCTCTCTTTTTAAAGATTTTATTTATTTGACAGAGAGAGAGCCAGACAGCACAAGCGGGGGGAATGGCAAAGGGAGAGGGAGAAGCAGGGAGCCCAGTGCGAGACTCGATCCCAGGACCCCAGGATCATGACCTGAGCCGAAGGCAGACACTTAACTGACTGAACCGCCCAGGCTCCCCTCTTTCTTTCTCTTATACTATCTTCCCTAACGACCAAGGAAATAACACTTGTTACCAAACAAATTTTTCTTTTCCCATGAACAGGGCTTCTAATTTCCAAGCCTGATGTAATCTCTCAGTTGGAGTGTGGGGAAGAGTTAGAGAGAGAAGTATCAAAAGCATCAGGTGAGTGATAACATAAAACCCAGATGGTCAGTGGGATCAAATGAGTCAAAGCATCTTTGAGGTGCTTGTGGAGGAGGCTTTCCAGATTTCACTAGACCCATGGAAAAGTGGAAGTGAAGTCCCTTTCTCCCATGCCACACTCCAGCTCTGTGGATGATCATCTTTTATAAATGCATACTTTTTAAATTTTTTTTTTTAGAAAATAAGTAATTTCCACCCTTTTCAAACCTATTCTTTTTCCCAAATAAGGTAAAAATGAAGTCAACATTTTAATATTTGTTAATAATATGCTTGGGTGTTAGGCTCTAAACCAGGCTTTTTCATATTATTTTTTATTTTATCTCTGCAGAATAGTGTGACTTTTTATCTCAGACCAATGACTAAAAATCGATCTCTGAGTTTCCCCTTGCCTTCCTCTTTATCTAAGTAGAGAAAGCATAGAATAGTGGTTGTGTGCAGACTTTGGAACCAGTCTAAATGTGTTCAAAGCCAGTCTTAACTACTTACTAGCTTTGTGACCTTTAACAAGTGAATTATCCTCTCTGTAACTCAAAGTCCTCAACTATAAAAGGGGGATAATGATAGCACTTAACTCATAGGGTTGCTGTGAAGATCAAATGAAATAATCCAAAAGAAATGCTTAGAATAGTACCTGACCAAATGCTGAGCAAGTAATAACTATTGATTAAGTCCTGGTAAATTATTTTGAAAGGTATCATGAATTTGACCTGATCATTTCTATCAAACTGGATACCGCAATGGACTACCTGCTAATTATATGTTCCTTAGTCTTACCCTTGTCTAATTGAGGCAGCATACCACTGCTGGATTCTCCACTCTGCCAGTTCTGTATTCCTCTACCCTGCTTTCAAGGCTTTTGTTACTACCTGCCTAACCATTTCACCTTCTTTATCCTTCAACTTGAACCCTTAACACCAGACAGGCAATCTCCTACTTTCCTCCATTAACTGTGTTCGCCACGGACATTTTGGGATTTAATTCTTCCGTTCCCCTTAGCTGAAAGTCCATTTGCCTTTAACCTGTTTCTACCCATTTGCCCTTTAAAATTCCAGGTGCTTCCCTGATTATATGCAGTTGTGAACATTGTATTGTATTGATTTATTTCATATAGAGTCATGGTTGGAATGGATATTAAAGACCATTTAAGCCTGGAAATATTTTTTTTTTTTTTTTTTTTTTTTTAGATTTTATTTATTTGAGAGAGAGAGAGAATGAGTGAGAGAGAGCGCGCACATGAGAGAGGGGAGGGTCAGAGGGAGAAGCAGACTCCCCGCCGAGCAGGGAGTCCGATGTGGGACTCGATCCCAGGACTCCAGGATCATGATCTGAGCCGAAGGTAGTCGCTTAACCAACTGAGCCACCCAGGTGTCCCGAAGCCTGGAAATATTTAAACATTTTTAGCTTTTCTCCCAAAACTCTTACTAGGAAACCTAGGATTTGGGGCAGTTGTCCTGACAGGTTGGGAACCAATCTGAGCATCTAGGGATTTGACCCTTCTCCCAACATGCTGCTCTTTTTTTTCAAACTTCATTCTATTTAACTCTTTATAGGGCTTTTTTTTTTCAAGATTTAATTTATTTATTTGACAGAGAGAGACACAGTGAGAGAGGGAACACAAGCAGGGGGAGTGGAAGAGGGAGAAGCAGGCTTCCCGCGGAGCAGGGAGCCTGATGCGGGGCTCGATCCCAGGACCCTGGGATCATGACCTGAGCCGAAGGCAGATGCTTAATGATTGAGCCACCCAGGCACCCCTCTATTTAACTCTTTAAAGTTTGTTAGGTGTGGGGCAGTCAGAGGTGATCAGTTGCTTTTTTTTTTTAAGATTTATTATTTTATTTTATTTTTAAGATATTTATTTATTTGAGAGAGAGAGGACAAATGGGAGGGGCAAAGGGAGAAGGAGAGAGAATCCCAAGCAGATTCCATGCTAAGTGCAGAGCCTGACATGGGGCTCAGTCTCATGACCCTGAAACCGTGACAGCTGAAATCAAGAGTTAGATGCTTACTGACTGAGCCACCCAGTTGTTCGATTTGCCTCTTAATCACTAAGCTTTGTGATGATGTGAATTTGCTGATCTGGACCACTTTGTTTCTTTGTTGTTGTTTTTTATTTTTTTTTAAGGTTTTATTTATTTGAGAGAGAGAGAGCGCGAGTGCACAAGAGCGGGGGGAGGGGCAGAGGGAGAGGAAGAAGCAGAGTCCCCACTGAGCAGGGAGCCTGATGCGGGACTCGATCCCAGGACCCTGAGATCATGACCTGAGCAGAAGGCAGACACAACCAACTGAGCCACCCAGCACCCTGATCTGGACCACTTTGAATGCTAGCTTAAAGAATCGGTGTCTCATCTTGAGACCGTGGAACCAACAGAGTTTTTTTTTAAGGTTTTGAAGGTTAGTCTGTTAGCAGTGATTGGGAAATCCTGGGATGGGGAAAGATTGGTAGCAAGGAGATCAACTAACGATGGTCTTTCTCAAGACATGAGGTGCAGAGGCTCCAGTGAGGGGTAAGAGTGGGCAATCCCTGCGAGACTGTCTTTTTCTGGCTCCACCTCACCCGTTTTTAAATCTCATCTGCCATTTACCCACATGACCTCTGCCTAGTCTTATTCTCTGTTATTCTTTCTCATCTCCTACCTGCCTAGATAGAAGAGTATTGAGTTCCTGCTCACTCTTTCCTTTTGTGCAGTTGCATTTCTTTGCCCACTCACCTTTCTTTTCTCAAGTTCTTTCAGAATTGCAAAGCTATTTTTGAGAGCTTTCAAGTTCCTGTGTTCTCTTGTAAACATTTTTCATTATTTTCCTACCACAATAGTTATTTTTCTTTCCCGTGTAGGAAATGATACATGTGTATTTTTGTTTCTTTCAGACTGGGAGACAATACCAGAAAGCAAGGAGTTTACTCCAGAGCAGGATATTTCTGAGGAAGAATCAGCCGCTGGTGTGTTAGTAGAAAGATTTCCAAAGGAAAGTTCCAGTGAATGTGAGGATTCTTTAGAGAGTCGGGAGGAAAACCATGAGAAACATTTAATACAGGAGGTTGTCACTCAGAAGAAATCTTCTGGGGAGGGAAGTTACCAGTGTGATGAATTTGGGGGAAGTTTTAATCAAAGATCATTACTTACTCAACAGCAAGGAGAGAGACTACATAACTGTGATTCATTTAAAAAGAACTTAAAATTCAGATCTAATGAGGCACGAGAAAATTTGTGCAGAGAAGAAACCTTGGAAGTGTAATGAGTGTGAGAAAGCCTTTAGTTACTACTCAGCTTTTGTCTTGCATCAGAGAATTCACACAGGAGAAAAGCCCTACGAATGTAATGAATGTGGTAAAGCTTTTAGCCAGAGCATACACCTTACTCTACACCAGAGAATTCATACTGGAGAGAAACCCTACGAATGTCATGAATGTGGGAAAGCCTTCAGTCACCGCTCTGCCCTTATTCGGCATCATATCATCCATACTGGAGAGAAGCCCTATGAATGCAATGAATGTGGGAAGGCCTTTAATCAGAGCTCATACCTCACTCAACATCAGCGAATTCATACTGGAGAGAAACCTTATGAGTGTAACGAATGTGGGAAGGCCTTTAGCCAAAGCACATTCCTTACCCAGCATCAGGTCATTCACACTGGAGAGAAACCCTATAAATGTAATGAATGTGGGAAAGCCTTTAGTGATCGATCAGGCCTTATTCAGCACCAGAGAACTCATACTGGGGAGAGGCCTTATGAGTGTAATGAGTGTGGGAAAGCCTTTGGCTACTGTTCAGCCCTGACTCAACACCAGAGAACTCACACTGGGGAGAAACCCTATAAATGCAATGATTGTGCCAAAGCCTTCAGCGACCGCTCAGCCCTTATTCGTCATCAGAGAACACACACTGGAGAGAAACCTTATAAGTGTAAGGACTGTGGAAAAGCTTTCAGCCAGAGCTCATCTCTTACAAAGCATCAGAAAACTCACACTGGAGAAAAGCCCTATAAGTGTAAGGAATGTGGAAAAGCTTTCAGCCAGAGTTCATCCCTTTCTCAACATCAGAAAACCCATGCTGGAGGGAAAACCAAAGAATATGGAAAAGCGTTTAGTGAGCATTCAGCCTTTGGCCAGCAAAAGAGAATTCATACTGGATAAAGACTATGTAAATGTGGTACATTCAGAACATATTTATCGAACAATTACTAAACGTGGTGTGAGGGCTACAAAGGAATTTCAGAGTGTATTACACAAAAGATATTAATTGAGAAGTCATTGCTGATACAAGGCATAGCTTACTTAGAATGTGAAGGAGGGGTTTTACATTTTTTCAGTGCAGCAGAGGACTTTGAATTTCCTCGGGGAAAGAGGAAGATTATTTCCAACACCCTAAGGTGTATGTAAGTTTCCAAATCCTTGTGGGAGAAATAGGGTGTGCGATGATGCAAAGAAGAGATCTTGGCTGGATAGTCTCTTAATGCTAAGGAGATGAAGCTTTAAAGAGATGAGGGTTTCTTTAGGGAAATTGCAGAGGCAGAAATAAGAGATTGAGAATTCACAATGAGTTTGTCCAGGGTTTGGGAGTAGAGGTGGAAGGAAAGTTGTCCTTGGGCTTAAGTATAAGGTCACTTAGGAGATAGATGAGAAGGTTCGAGAAAAAGAACTGGGGTAGTGAACTCAAGAAATGTTGATTGAGATAACTACTCAAATGAGTGCTCCCAACCAGGGAAAATATTATGGTCAGGTGCAAAGTTTCCACCCTGATGCCAAGGAACATTGGCCTGGCAGTCTGCTTCTGCGCTTTTTGTCTTGGAGACCTTGCTTATTGATTCACAGCGTGCTAAGAATCATATTAACTCCAGGGGTCAAGGCTGACAGCCTAGAAAGAGAAGGTATAGGAGGGACCTTTGATGTTTTCAGTCTATCTTAAGCTACCTATTTTAAGCTAAGTTACCTGAGAATATGCTTATTTATAAAGATTTTACCTCAATCGTATGTAGTTTGTACTTTAGATTTAGTCATACCATAGTCAAATTAAGTTGTAGACCTGAGCTGACACTGCATATTGGATTGTGAAAGATTCGAAAAGGCTTTGAAAAACTTACCTTTCACCATTTTATTCTTGGGTAGAGGCACATGACAGCCTTGTATATATATATATATATTTTTTTTTTTTTTCCATTGGAACTTCGAAGGTTATTGCACATATTTTGAGTATTGTGTTTTTAGTTTTCACAAGTTTGATGATATGTCTTGATGTGGATTTCTTTGAGTTTATCCTGTTTTCTGAACTTCAATCTGTAGGTTTATGTGTTGGGGAATTTTTAGCCATCATTTCTTTGAACACATTTTCCAGCCCTCACTCCTTTTCTCCTTCCAGGACCCTGATGACACACATGTTAGATCTTTGATTGTAGTCCCACAAGTTCCTGAGGCTCTGTTCTGTGATTTTTTTTTTCCAGTATATTTTTATCTCAATCTGCTCAGGCTACCATAACAAAATAATGTAGAATGGGGGGCTCAAACAACAGAAATGAATTTCTCACAGTTTTGGAGGCTGGGAAGTCCAAGATCAAGGTGTCAGCTTTGGCCTCTGGTGAGGGCGCTCTTCCTGGATTGCAGAGGGCCACCTTCTTGCTGTATCCTCATGAGGCCTTTTTTTTGGTGCTTGCAGGGGAAAAGAGAACTCTCTTCTATTTCCTATAAAGCTGCCAGTCCTATCTGGTTAGGACCCCAGCCTTATGACCTCATTTAACCTTAATTACCTCTGAGAAGCCCTGTGTCCAAATACAATCATTTTGAGAGTTAGCACTTCAACATATGAATTTGGGGGGCACACAATTCCGTCCATAGCATTCTGCCCCTAGTTCCCCCAAATTCATGTTCATGCAAAATACATTTGCTCCATCCCAACAACCCCTCAAATCTTAACTCATTGCAGCATCAAGTCTGAAGTCTTACCTAAATATCACATAAATCAGATATGGGTGAAGCTTAAGGTATAATTTATCCTGAGACAAAATTCTTGTTCAGCTGCGAATCTATGAAACCAGATAAGTTATGTGTTTCCAAAATATAGTTGTGGGACAGGCATGTGATAAATATCCTCACTCCAAAAGAGGAAAGAAGGAAGGAGTGAGAGGTCCCCGAGTGAGGAAAGAAGGAAGGAGTGAGAGGTCCCCAGCAAGTCTAAAACCCAGCAGGACAAATTCCATAAAATCTTAAGTCTTGAGAACAAATGCTGTTTGGCTTGATGCCCCACCTTACAGACCCACTGAGACAGTGATCCCACATTTTGGACCCACTGGTACAGCAGTCTCACCACCAAGGCTCTGCTGGCCCTATTGAAACTGAGATGATGTCCCTACCCTTTGAAACAGGAGGCAGCAATGATCCTGAAATTGACTTGAGTCACTCTTTTTTTTTTGAAACAAAAAGCATGTTCATGGCTGAGTAGCTTTACTCTCCAGTCCTGTAGGATCTAAGAAGTCAGACAGTCTTCCTCCATTTGTCTAGTTTTTCTGTCCCTTGGGTCCCAGCTGGCTTGTTTCTGCTGATATAATCCCTGGCTTCTGTGGAGATGCCTGAACTTAATCACACCCATGAGTCACACCCATGATCTCTTTTTCAAATGGTTGTTCAGCCACACCCTTAGTGTTCTCAGGCAGAACAAGCTTTCTCCTATTTTGCAACATGGGTGGACGGAATTTTCTAAATCTCCAAGTTCTAGGGTTTTGTTTTGTTTGTTTTTTTGTTGTTTTTGTTTTTGCTTAACAAGTCTTCAATTTATCTCTCGCCTCTCGTATTTTGTTATAAGCAGTAAGGAGGGCCCGAGCTGCACCTTTAACACTTTGCTTGGAAATCTGTGTTGAATGTCCACAGTTTATTTGCTCACAAGTTCTGCCTTTCACAAAACACTAGAACACCGTTCAGCCAAGTTCTTTACCACTTTATTTATTTATTTATTTTTAAAGATTTTATTTATTTGAGAGAGAGAGAGAATGAGAGATAGAGAGCACGAGAGGGAAGAGAGTTAGAGGGAGAAACAGACTCCCTGCTGAGCAGGGAGCCCGACATGGGACTCGATCCCGGGACTCCAGGATCATGACCTGAGCCGAAGGCAGTCGCTTAACCAACTGAGCCACCCAGGCGCCCCCAAGTTCTTTACCACTTTACAACAAGGGTTGCCTTCCTTCCAGGTTCCAGTAATGTGTTCCTCGTTTCTGTCTGAGATTTCATCAGAGCGGCCTTTAACATCCATATTTATAGTGTGCACCTCAAAACTCTGCCATCCTCTACCCATTACCCAGTTCCAAAGGTGCTTCCACATTTTTAGGTGTTTGTTAGAACAGCACCCCTCCTCTAGGTGCCAAAATCTGTTAATCTGCTTGGGGGTGCCATAACAAAATACCATAGACTGGGGGGCTCACACAACAGAAGTTAATTTCTCACCATTCTAGAGGCTGGGAAGGCCAAGATCAAGGTGCCTGCTGATTGGTTTCTGGTAAGAAGGTTCTCTTCCTACTTGTAGATGGCCACCTTCTTGCAGTGTCCTCCCAATCCTTCCTCAGTGTGTGCGGGCACAGAGAGAATTCTCTCTTCTTACAAGGCTACCAATCCTATCAGCTTAAGACCCCATACTTATGACCTCATTTAACCTTAATTACCTTCTACAAACTCTGTCTCTAAATACAGTCACATTGATTAGGGCTTCAACATGAATTGGTGGTTGGGGGATGGTTAACACAATTCCATCCATGGTAATTTTCTTTCTGTTCAGATTTATCTTAACTTCACTGATTCTTTCCTCTGCTTCTTCCATTCTGATGTTGACTCCATCATTGGATTTTATTTCAGTGATATTTTTCAGTTCCATTTGATTCTCTGTATTATATTTCTTTAGTGAAACTATTTTCTAAATTTGTGTCAAGCATGTTTGTCATTGCTCATTGAGGCATTTTATGATGGCTGTTTTAAAATCTTTTATCAGGTAATTCTAACATCTGTGTCATTTTGGCGTTGGCATCTGTGGGTTGTCTTTTCATTCAAGTTGAGATTTTCCTTCTGTGTGTGCTGACAATTTTCAGTTGAAATCTGGGCATTTTGAGTATTATGTTATGAGACTCTGTCCTATTTAAACTTCTGTTTGGTCAGGCCTCTGTGGAGAAAGGGTTGAGGGGATACTGCTTATTACTGTAGGTTGGTGTTGGAAGTGCAGGGTCATCATTGGCCTCTACTGACACCTGGATAGGGGGCCTCACTCCGCCGGGTAGGGGTGGGGGTTACAACTCCCTACCAGACCTCTACTGACACCACACCAGCAAGGAAGGGGAGAGACGTCTTGTCTCTGGGTAGGATTGGAAGCCTACTCCCCATGTCGTCTTCAGTGGATACTGCCAGGATGGGATGGGGAAAGAGTTGGTTTGGAAAATTCTGTCCTGACTTGACCCTCTCGATACTACTGTGGTGTGGGGTTGGAGCACTGAGGAGCCTCGTTACAGACTGGTAAGGGTAGAAGTGTAGCCTCCCCACTTGGTCTTGGGTCTTTGGCTGGAGTAGGATGGTTATTGTCTAAAAGTTTTCTGTCTTCCTAGGCCACTTCTTTCCTCATCCTTTTTCCAGAAAGAACAGACTTTTCTTGCCCCCCCCCTTTTTTTTTGGTCTGTGCTCATTGGCATTTCTCGGTTGCCAACTTCTTCTGAATCCAGTCTGGGATAGATGAGGCAAAAGGAAAACCCAAGGACCTCAGTGCTGTGGTGTTCTTCAGGTCCTGAGGTCCCCAACTGGTCTGCATTCTCTCCACCTTTCAGAATCTTATGTTGTTTTATACAGAATGTCCATGGTTTTTAGCTGTACTTTGAGAAGTAGGGAAAGGCACTACTACGTATTCCCCATGACATCCTTTCATTTGACACCAAAATAGGTCACGTTGTTGTCAAATTTTTGTGGCATACATAGGTCATTTGCAACCAGTTAGGATTAAGTACCAAGAGGAGTGCTCACTTGTTCTTCAATATAAGTTACCACGTTGGTAGGTAGGAACTACCAGGCTGCAAGCTTCATCTAGCTTTCAAGGAACTATAGTGTTTAAGTTGAGGAAATGCCAGTATTTAATTGTAGATTATAAATTTCAGAAGGAAGGATAGATATGATTAAGA